GACTCCTGCAACACGACACATCCTATCGCCTCGTCGACATCAAACATCAACCCTAATCGAAATTCTAATACCAGCAATCACTACTTCGCCCTACCCACCTCCACACACCAAATGCTACCCGACTGTAACGGCTCACCTCTGCATGCTCCTTCACTTCTGTCAGCTGGCGTTTCAAGCTAAGCACAGCCTCCTCCTTCTCGGCGAGCTCCCCCACTAATTCCGACTGCAACCAATCGCCGCATACATGCAAAGAGACCCAACCGGGAATGCATATACGCATGGGCAATCCAAATCGGAAAAAGCACAACTCTCGCAATTCACGTGCTTCAGTCAGGCCGCAGCTACACCAGCGGCATTGAAGACCTAATATAAGAAACGGCAAACATTAGTGCACCATACCTAATAAACACTGCAGCTGCTAAGCGTCAGAACTGAGCTCAGCCCAACTATCCATCCTAACACACACACACCGAACTCCTGCTCGGATGCGTCCCTTCCAACACACTCACGTTTTTCGTCACCAACGACTGCAACGTTTCGGGAGACCCAAGGCGCAACAGAGGCTCCGCCTTTTCTCGAAGATCTGCCAAACTCCTCCGCAAATTCTCCAACTGTTCATCTTTCTCCTTGACCGACTCCTGCAACACGACACATCCTATCGCCTCGTCGACATCAAACATCAACCCTAATCGAAATTCTAATACCAGCAATCTCTACTTCGCCCTACCTACCTCCACACACCAAATGCTACCCGACTGCAACGGCTCACCTCTGCATGCTCCTTCACTTCTGTCAGCTGGCGTTTCAAGCTAAGCACAGCCTCCTCCTTCTCTGCAAGCGCCCGAGCTAATTCCGACTGTAAAAAATATCCGCATGCACGCATGCAGAGAGGGCAAGCTCAACGTGTAGTGGTGACGGAGACGCGTTGGAAGCGTGAAGTGTAGTGCGGACGTTGTTTGTGATGCCACAGGGATGGAGGCAATTGGGAGTGCTGTACCTGAAATGGGCACTAGATGTATGGCAATTTCTCATGCTTTTGCTTGCGGAAAGACGAACTATGTGGAGTGTATAGTTCATTGCTGCATTACAACCGATGCAAAAATCAGTTGCTACACGGCAATAGAAGCAAAGCAACCGGGGGCCGTGACCCGCAGTACGGTTGTCGTTGATGTTCATAACAGACATGAATTTGTTGATTCGGGAGGCACTTACATTCCTTGCTTCTAGTGATGCAAGCTCTTGAGAAGACCTCAATTGTAAGGAGGAGTCCATTTGCCCACGTTGCCGTTCTGACGTTTGCAAGTGGCCCGCAGACAGCCCTCCGACATCGGCACTAGCATTTCCGAGCTCCTCTGTGTCCGTCTGCAGCAGCATTAGTACTCCAATCGCACAAATACTTGTACTCTGGTCTAGCCTTCAAAGAAGTATGCTTTCACCACGCAAGGCAGTACAGTGCTACGGACTGCGCCTCATGACTGCTAGCTATCGTGTTCATCTCCGTGCTGAAACATTTGCCGACTGCTGCAAGTTCTCTGACATGTGATTTTGCTCCCCGTAAATCTTCTAACTGTGAGCGCAGGTCTTCAACTTCTTTGTCCTTCGTAGCCAAGAGCTTCCTCAGGTCGGCCTGAATTATGCAGCCCAGTCAGTATATGGTAAAACCGAGGCTTACACATGGAATGACTTGAAACTTGCGTCACGATCTGTGGATTCCCACATTCATCTGCAGGGAGACAAGATCTGTGTGCGCTTACAATATGCTCATTGAGACGCTGCACTGCCTCTGATGAATTTTTCAGCTTGTCCTCCATGGACACCTGATGCACATGCCAGTCCGCATAACCGTCCCAACTTCAAACAAGAAAGTTCAGTTGTCCAATACCTTCATTTTCCCCAGACGGATTGCCCAAATCCAGATTGCACTCTTGAGTGCGCAGCGTTGCGATACAAAGAATGAGGTCTACACATGTGGAGAATTACCCATCATAAACCAACCAGCAACCATTTACATCACTACATGTAGTAGACACGTGGAACGTAAGGCCAGTTCCACCATCTACAAACACACAAGTACTTTACTGCCCATAGTAGACGGGGAAGGTGGACCACACTAGCTTTTGTTGACTGTGTAGTGCGGGTCCTGTTGGAGTGAGCTGAGCCTTGCCTTTTCGTCCTGCAGAACAGTAGCAAGCCTTTGCTGCACCTCCAGTTGTCGTTTTGCCCCCTCTTCTGTGGTACGTCCATCCTGCAGGTTCCGGGACATAGCATGCAGAGAGAATTTTCCCTGAGCACCTTCAACAACACTCACTGCAATCACCTTCCTTGAGCACCTACGTGAATACAAAAACTCGGTGAAACCAACCCTATCAATTTGGTGGATAGTCTGCTGTTGCATGAAAATCAGTGACTCCAGTTGAGATTTTTCTTCTCGGAGATTATGCACTTGATGTTGAAGCCTTGCCACCAACGCCTGACAGTGCTCGTTTGTGCATGCTGCGTACACAAGACCACCTGGCATTCCATATTGATGACGCCGCAGCCCATCCAGTTGCATCTTTCACCTTTCCTAGGAAACTACAACACACACTGGAATAAGCCCCCCTCCACTACTGGAAGATCAAAACAGGCCTCGTGCATTGCAAATCTTACGTTCAAGTGGGCCCCTGTGGGTACTTGGAAGAGAAGTGGTCGTTTCTGAATCCTTGGTACAAGGGACATCGTTGGGCAGTGAGTCCTGCTGGGTAAGCTGCCAACGGTGAACAGGCATGGATCCAGTCCTATTCGGACCCCTTGTTCCACCGGCTTCACTGGTTCCGTGCGGTTTGCCAATCGACCTGCTCAAGAACCTCTTCATCTTTGGCTCCCGTTGGATCTACCTTTTACACGTATAAATACGGAAGTATTATCTGCTGCATCCGCGACGCTTGTGAGCGCTCAAAGCTGTGGTCATAATGACACGAATGGACGAATGACACGAATGGACTGCTTCGGACGAATTAGCGGTCCATAAGTTGATTACCTTCGTGTGCACAGCGCCTGGACTTCAGAACAGATGTACATGAGGTTGTTCTTGCAGCCTTCAACAGCAGCCCCTGCCCTAGGTTTTAACCCAGCTTTCGGAAGGATGGCAGCAACGCTTCAGTTCAGGCGCCATCAGCCGGTTTAGTAGATGAAACACTGTAGAGCTTTCACGGCTCCTCCACCAACGTGTTCTGCTGATTATATATTACATGTATAAACTGTGGAAGTCAGATGAGATACAGGCATGTCTTGCACCGAATTTCAAACAATCGGCCCCAGGGACTGGAAACAGTCTCGAGTCAACGCAAGGTAGCTCGAACACAAATGGAGTGGAAAGCAATTCTTATTCGCCTGTCATGTGGGGAATATGCATTCAATTACTTTCGCTGTAAGAAAAAGCATAATATCATTGGCGTCACTACAATTTTAGCCATGCTCGCTGCCGCCGGCCCAATCGGACTCGTCCTGGACCAGTCAGCGGCAGATCAGGTAGTATTGCTGAGGGGGAGTTATCACAGTCCTCTGCATTTTAGGCTTTGAACTATACGAAATATTATCTTCCACAGAAATATTGAGCTCAATATCGCCCAGTCTACAGACGCCGCCTGCTTGACGAAGATAACCGCATGGCGGCAAGCATAGAGAACTTCGCCGCCCCAAAGAGCTAATTGTCTCTCCATAACTCAACCCCTCTGGTATTACATCAAAACGTTATACAGTGTGTTGGCAGACGACTTGCTTCACAGGCCTCTACCACTGGCACGGCTCTGTGCACTGCCCCTCGTAGAATGGCCAGTTCTGTGCCGACCAGGCACTAGGATACATAACTCCCCCGTGTATGCGTTGTAGTAAAGTTTCAGTTGTAGAATATGCTAAGGTTACGCTAAGGTTACGTGAAAGCACTATAACTTTCCCCCCCAAGTGACCACGCTACGACTCCCGCTAATATCGACAGCTCGCTATATACCCAATACACTCTATTGAGCCATCCTTGCTCACAAGGCAGGAAAAACAAAAACTGTCATTCGGCAGAAAGACACCAAAGTTATCGGGTGCTGTTCCAGCAGACAAAATGTCGGTGCCTTTCGAGTTGCTTCTCACAGTTTGGCGTGCGCAGTGTAATAGGAACAGGGAAGGTACCCTTGCAGAGAATACAGACCCCAGTCAGATGTGCTTAGCAGAAAACTCGTCTCAGGGTCCAGAGGAAGTAATCCAAGCACTGCGTCCAGGTCCTTCTATTCATTTCCAAAATGAATTTTACAAAGGCCTCAATATTCAATCAACAGAGCATTGTTACCTGTTTCTCCATCCCCCAGGCATGGGGATCCTCGCATTCTGCCGTTTTCTTGCAATGGAATCTGGTCCGACGTTTCGTATTATGCAGTGCATGTTTTGCACCTCTGCCTGCTGCTGATTTGGAACAGCCCACTGGAGCTGTTGTGGTTGGCTTTGCAGCGGTTGTTGGGGAATTGAAAATGAATGCTGTTGAAAGCTTGCCCGTTGGTGGAAGCCGTATGAACAGGGACTCCTGGGGTCAGTTACCGGCCTCTGTCCCACTGTTCGGGTTGGCCAGGGCAAGCCAACATGGCCATCATTAACCACAATAACCGGCTGACGCTGCACAAACGTGTTGCTTCCGCACGACTGCAACCCATTTAGAACGTTCTCTGGAAGCGAAGACCGTTGTGGAACTTCAAAAGGAATCCCTGATACCCAGTTTGTTTCTTGCTGTTGTGACGCACTCTGTTGAAACTGATTCAGGTGCACCGGAAGCATGCCTCGAGCCACGCCAACGGACACGGACTCCTGTGTATTGCACGAGTCCCTGCCCAATTCTCCCTCCTTTTGTGTGACCAACTTCGGTGAAGGTGCCTGACTGCCCGGTGCAGCGGGCGAAGGCAGCGGTGGCCGATTAGTGCACTCATCGTGCAAACCCTGATTGAACCTTGCAGACGCAGCCGTGTCAGGTCTCCCCTTGATAGCTTCACTTTGATCACCAAAAGGACATGGAGCTTGAGAATTCTGTCCATTGCCTTCCTGGGAAAGATGGGTTATCGGCACACCCCTGTTGGCCACATCGAGGGAGTGAAGCGCTAACTTCTGGCCGACCTCACTGCTGTGATCTTCTGTCACAACAACTGCTTCTGCTTGTTCGGTATGGTCCTTTGGTTTACCCCCCAATTGTCCTTGTGATGTAATAGGCAAAGAGCCTGTTCTACTGGACCTCAGAGGATGACGATGGACTGGTGCCGGTGCATGCGTCAATTGTGGGTTACTGGCAGTGCTCGAGAGGCCGGTCGGGTCTTCGTTTCCGTCGATAGTAGTGAGGGGAGAGACAATACCCGAAAACTTATCTGATGTGCAGGCGATGTTCTCACCCTGGACAAGTGCATGCTCGTGAAGGGAAGATAAAGATGGCAGTGAAGCCGTCTTCTGCGATTGCAAGCGACTAGGCATACCAGCGCTGCCTTTGCCTTGGGAGGCAATGCTGATCTTTTCCGGCACAAGGGGTGCCAGGTCTTGGGAAGGCCGTGTCCCACGCTTTTGTTCCTTTGTCTCAGTTACAGAGCAGGCAGCAGATTGCTTCCTAATAAAATCCTTGCAGGTGGGCAGTACGGTTCCGCAAGTCATACGACTGGGAAGACCGCTGCGCGGTAGATATTCCAAGACAGACGGCGGTTGGGTGGCGCGCAAGTTTCCCAATGTGTTTATGTGCACTAATATTCCTGCGTTGTCCGACGAGATTCTCCTCTGAGAGGCAGAGCGCCTTGGGTGTGAACTAAAAGATGCTGGCTTGAGCATGGGGTCCTGAGAGTCGGAAGCCTTCATACCATGACCTTCCTTGCACTGCCTTGTCTGCCTGGAACTGTTTCTCCTTGAGGTTACAGGAGGGACAACCGTTGAGCTCTCCTTCTTACTGGGTGAAGCTTCGCTCAGCGCAGTATTCCTTGTAAAGGCAGGCTGGATCCTCTGCGTTCGGTAAGAATCCCGAGACGCCGGTCCTGCTGGCCGCTGTAAAGCTATCTTCCCGACAGGCAGCGGCGGCAAAGGGTGCCTAGCACCGCTTGGCGTAGACTGCACGGTGGAATCAGGCTGGATCTTACGGTCAGAGGCAGTTTGTAATCGCGAACTCGCTGCAACTGAAGATGACCGAGATACCAGCTTGCTCCCATCCTTTGGGATGCTGGCGCCCTCAGCTTGCCTATCAAAGGATGCGTTGTTATGCGATCCCACTCTGGAAGGCAGCCCTTCTGTCTTGTGACGGAAATGAATCGGCATACTAAAAGTTGCATCATTTACAGCTCCCATTCTCAGCTTCGACAGGCGGCCCCGCCCACCCTTCCCGTAAGCAATATCTGCTTGGCCCGTCGTTCGTCGTATTGGTTGAGTCGTTTCCGGTGTTTCTTCGACACAGCGAAAAAAGGGCACTGCCTCTCCCGCTTTCCCTTGATATTTCGATATAGTGCTTCCCAAGATGTTCTCAGCTCTTCCTAATTCGCCAGACGACACAGGACACGAAATGCACGAATCAGAAGTGCGTTGAGCTGCTACCCTTGTCAGTGGGATTTCCTTTGTCTTCAAGGCATGAAAGAGAGCCCAACGTGCCAAAGGCTGATCTTCCATGCCAAGTGCTTCGATCTGTTTCCTCAGCTTTGCTTCTGGCCAGCGGCTGGCAAGCAAAGCAACAACTGCGTTCCCTTGTTCAATGAGCTGACTGAGCGACAAAACAGCAAAAGCAAGTGGCAATTCAGTTTCGTCAGCTTGATGGCTGCCATTCCGTTGCTGAAAAAGATTTGAGTGCACGAAAAAGGCTTGTTTCGTACCTAAGTTTTGTCTTAAACCGAGGCATCACGTCTTCGACAAGGGCGGTCAGGCACTGAAGCTGCGCGTAAAAAGCACAGCCATATCTTAAAAAACAGTTCAGGCGGTTGCCACAGCCAGAAATGGTGATGTACGAATCGGAATGGCACTAAGAGGCAAATGATCGAACGAAAGAAGCCCCAGACATGCCACACCTGCGTTTGTGTTTGGTATAGCAGCCTTGCAAAATATTCCTTGTCCTCCACTGCATCACTTGCGATAGAGCGAGCGACTTGAGCAGACACCTTCGGCAAACACCCACAATCTTCCGTATCCGTGAATAAAAGCTATCCTACATAATATGTGGCAAAACTGCGCTAACCTAAGTGCGGGAACAGGCTCTGCAACGGTGCAAAGGAAAGCAGCAAACCTCAGCAACAGTGATGCGCTCGCTGTTGATGTAGCTTTCCTCTTGGAGGCGAAGATACTGAGAAGCACCCACAAACATATGCTAGACATTTCCCTTATCAATGCAGAGCTGTGGATTTGCCTTTCTACATCATGTAGCCACCATGTCTTCGCTTACCTCATCCTGGAAGACTGCATAGTGTTTCCTTTCCTCTGCCCGTAACCCTGAGAGCCACTTCACATAACGAACCGCTTATGCAAAACAGCTGCTAGTAGAGAAGCTACTGCTGAAACGAAAAAAAGTTGATTTTGCTGTGTGGTGGAATATGCGCACTCTGCTCTTCAGCGAGTTCCTCCTGGACTAGCCACAGTGCCTCTTCCAGGTCGTGAAATGCTTTAACAGATCCGCCACTAAGCTCGACTTCCGCCAATCGATTAACGCACGATCCCTGAGAAATACACACCCAAGAGTTCTCGGCACTGCGAGACAAGCTCACAGTCTTGTCAGCAGCAGAGTGAACGTCTCTTCAACCAAACGGGCAGTCGGTGGAGTTGCCAAATAGCCTGTCGCACAGCGAATGAATTGACTACCCACCGGTGAAGCAATAGAATTTCCATGATCGTCTTTATCCTTTTCAGTTTCGGCACCTTCCACATTGTATGTAGAAACTTCGGCAGGAACAAGATCACGTACGAAACTCTCCCTTTGAGGGTCGTCAGCAGCACAGCAACCAGGGACAGTGGAGAGGCCACTGGCGTCGTCACAGCCTGCTTTATATTCAAGTGCAAGGGTTTCAGAATATTGATCCATTGGATATGGGCGCGTTCGGGGTTGACGGGGTGACCGCACTACGCAGTCAATGTATACTCTACTTGGTTGCGCGAGCTGAGATGTGTCTCCTCGGCGAAGCAGGCAAGTTCGTTGATCACAGAATGCCTTTGAATCTAAAAAAATTCCTCTTAAGCCCTATGAATTTGTTGACATACCCAGGAAAAGAGAAGAGGTCAGAATGTCTCGAGACGGCGGGGCCACCTTCACGCTGTCTAAAAACGACCAGCCGCCGGCGAACCAGTCCATGCACCGCAGCCGATCCATCTAAATACTACAAAATCAGCTCATAAAAGGCATAGATGAGGCGTCCTGTGTGAGGTATTGCTGAAGGCTCAAATTGCCTTGCGATGTGGATTCATTGACTATGCACAGGCTGCAGTTGGCGAAGCTACGGAGCGCTTGAGCATCTGCAAGAAATATACGACTGTATTAGTAATGTCATCAGTTCATCTACTATTTTTACGGGATACCTTATTTTCTTCCTTGGAAGAACCACTGGTCGCTGCTCCGCGCATAACGGTCACACCCTGGGGCTTGGGTGCCCATTGGCCTGTGGCCAAGGCACGATAGAGCTGCACCGCGCAAAGTTCAGCAAATGTATTTAACTAAGCTTCCTTCTAAAATTGGAGCCATACACAGAAATAACCTAACAGATCACTTATTGAGATCGATGTTAGTGAAATTAGAGTTTCGGTGGGCCGAAAACTTCGTCCTCCCAACTGCCACCAACCTCACCGTCACCATTTTGCTTGCAGTGAATTGCTTATATACGGAATACGTAATATACACACATTCAGCTGTATTCCATCTCACAGCTAGAATCGAATGATACTGCTTAGCCCTATACTCTTGAACTCCTGCATGTCGAATTGTTTGGGGGAGACCACCGAGCCACTCGCCACCTGAACTTTTACTTGCAGGAGGGCAGGGCTGTAGGAGGAAACCGAGCGAAGTCTGGGGACTTCTGCCAGTACCGCTTTTAGGCAGCTTCTCCTCGGTGAAGTTTTGAAGCTGCCTCTTCCCTGTGGTGTAGCCTTAGCTTTGTATCTGCAGGACCGAGGCAACTCATCTACTGTTACCCCAGCTCTACGAGGAAGACTTCATACCTCTCTCTGTTTCAACCACCTGGTCCCAACGTAGATGAATTATTATTCGGTTCTTGGAGCGCACTTCTGAAACGCCCTCGAAGTAGAACACAACTCTATCTTACTTCGTGGCACCAGCCCTCCGGGAACAGCACCTCGGAAATTTCCTTCGCTTGATAGGCTAAGGGGTTTAAGAAATAATTTGCGGACCCTCGCACGCGTCGCTCTTCCATATTGGTATGCCGAGAGTCTTACGTGAGAGTTTGTTTAAGAAGGCAGACTGCTAAGCACAAGAAAATTGAAGGAATCACACTTGGTTTGCTCACAAAAATGGATAGATGCTTGCTATGCGCTAGCCAGTGGCGAATGCTTTCTAGCCATAACACAGCTGAATAGTGCACATTTCCTCCACTGTTAGCTGGCAACAGCAACTCGACTCCAGCAGTACGTGACAAAGGGTATATAATGCAGACACTGGCCACACTCAAACTGGCATTCCGAAGATTCAATTCCGCTTAAAGGGCATCACTCCGGCTATGAATGCTCGCCAGAGTGTCTAGAGCTACGCCAAATCAGGGCAAATATATTTTATCGCCAACACCAACTCTGGCACTATCGAACAGCTGCTTCACAACACTATTGGTCATACTGAGTCGCTCAACAAGTGGACGGACGACCGAAGCCGGAGGAGACAATCCTAGCAACTAACCTTATGCGAACAAGGCAGTCAGGTTGTAGGAATGAAACCACTGTAAATGCACAATGTCAATACGTGGCTCAATGCCCACTCATCAATAAGCACCCCCTACGGCCTAGCAAAAGAATGTTCAAAGAAGTTATCAACCCTTGTGATTTACTCTCGGAAACTAAATGGTAAGTTTACGTTGTAGTGGAGGGGAGTCGGCGTTTGTTTTTCCTACTATATGTATTAATATATATATGTGTTATATATATATATATATATATATATATA